TTGGGGTGAGTATAACACCAGGCACATCTCCTGAAGCGCACATCAACCAAATAACTGCTGCAGCATATGGGCGCCTAGCAAACCTCAGAACAGCATTCCGACATCTTAATAAGGAATCATTCAGGACCCTGTACACCGTGTACGTTAGGCCCATATTGGAGTATGCGGCATCAGTTTGGAACCCACACCTAGCCAAGCACGTGAAGAAACTAAAGTGCAAAGGTTTGCAACAAGACTAGTCCCAGAGCTAAGAGGTATGTCCTACGAGGAGAGGTTAAGGGAAATCAACCTGACGACACTGGAGGACAGGAGAGATAGGGGGGACATGATAACGACATACAAAATACTGAGAGGAATTGACAAGGTGGACAAAGACAGGATGTTCCAGAGATTGGACACAGTAACAAGGGGACACAGTTGGAAGCTGAAGACACAGATGAATCACAGGGATGTTAGGAAGTATTTCTTCAGCCACAGAGTAGTCAGTAAGTGGAATAGTTTGGGAAGCGATGTAGTGGAGGCAGGATCCATACATAGCTTTAAGCAGAGGTATGATAAAGCTCACGGCTCAGGGAGAGTGACCTAGTAGCGATCAGTGAAGAGGCGGGGCCAGGAGCTCGGACTCGACCCCCGCAACCTCAACTAGGTGAGTACAACTAGGTGAATACACACACACACACACACACACACACACACACACACACACACACACACACACACACACACACACACACATAAGCAGAGATATGATAAAGCTCAAGGTTCAGGGAGAATGACCTAGTAGCGACCAGTGAAGAGGCGGCGCCAGGAGCTTGGACTCGACCCCTGCAACCTCAACTAGGTGAGTACAACTAGGTGAGTACGCGCACACTGATCTCTCTGTTGTGCTAAACAGGATCATGAGAACCACTCTTGGATCCCCTCAATTGTCGAACAGTCTCCCTCAGGGTAGATATTAAGCCTCCCTCGCTCCCCAGTAGTCTGTAGTTCACAAACACTGGCAAAGCTGCTAAAATATTACATTGGCAAGCTTGCCAGCAACTGTTCTACAGAACTGCTCTGTAATAACATATCATAACGGGACAAGATACATGACTAATGCGCGGACAAACTGTACACAGATCAACTCCTCCACCCAGATGACTATACGCCTCCACCCAGATGACTGTACTCCTCCACCCAGATGACTGTACTCCTCCACCCAGATGACTATACTCCTCCACCCAGATGACTGTACTCCTCCACCCAGATGACTGTACTCCTCCACCCAGATGACTATACTCCTCCACCCAGATGACTGTACTCCTCCACCCAGATGACTGTACTCCTCCACCCAGATGACTATACTCCCTCCACCCAGATGACTGTACTCCTCCACCCAGATGACTGTACTCCTCCACCCAGATGACTGTACTCCTCCACCCAGATGACTATACTCCTCCACCCAGATGACTATACTCCTCCACCCAGATGACTGTACTCCTCCACCCAGATGACTGTACTCCTCCACCCAGATGACTATACTCCTCCACCCAGATGACTGTACTCCTCCACCCAGATGACTATACTCCTCCACCCAGATGACTATACTCCTCCACCCAGTGACTGTACTCCCCCATACTCTTCCACCCAGATGACTATACTCCTCCACCCAGATGACTATACCCCTCCACCCAGATGACTGTACTCCTCCACCCAGATGACTGTACTCCTCCACCCAGATGACTATACTCCTCCACCCAGATGACTATACTCCTCCACCCAGATGACTGTACTCCTCCACCCAGATGACATACTCCTCCACCCAGATGACATACTCCTCCACCCAGATGACTGTACTCCTCCACCCAGATGACTGTACTCCTCCACCCAGATGACTATACTCCTCCACCCAGATGACTATACTCACTCCACCCAGATGACTGTACTCCTCCACCCAGATGACTGTACTCCTCCACCCAGATGACTATACTCCTCCCCCAGAAACTATACTCCTCCACCCAGATGACTGTACTCCTCCACCCAGAGACTGTACTCCTCCACCCAGATGACTATACTCCTCCACCCAGATGACTGTACTCCTCCACCCAGATGACTATACTCCTCCACCCAGATGACTGTACTCCTCCACCCAGATAAAACGTACTCCTCCACCCAATGACTATACTCTCCACCCAAAATGACTATAACTCCTCCACCCAGATGACTATACTCCCCCACCCAGATGACTATACTCCTCCACCCAGATGACTGTACTCCTCCACCCAGATGACTATACTCCTCCACCCAGATGACTATACTCCTCTACCCAGATGACTATACTCCTCCACCCAGATGACTATACTCCTCCACCCAGATGACTGTACTCCTCCACCTAGATGCTACACTTCTCCACCCTGATGGCTACTCTCCTCCACCCAGATGGCTATACTTCACCCTGATGGCTATGGCTATACTTCTCCCTGACAACAATCGAGTATATGTTAAATACCCATTTTAAGACTTTTTGTGAATAAACACATTATCAGACAAGAGATAATAAAAAGTCATGCAGAATCAAACATGGAAGGAGCAGACTACATGGCGTACTTCACAGATGGATCACTTGATCAGGAGCAGAATCTGGCAGCCGCACTAATGTACCATGACAGGAAACCAATGGAAGGAGACTTATGCACTCTTAGCTGATTTTGACTCGGGAGTTGGTGGCTACCCTACTAGCATCAACACATGCATTGCACCATTACAAACATCGGGCAGTCTATTCCATAGCGATGACGATAGTTGAGAAGGTCATGAGGAACAGTGCGAACATTGCCTATAGCACATGCTAAAGCCGCAGATCCATTATATACTAGACTACCAAGTCACCCTCTCCTTACACAGACGATTGATCCTATCTCCGCCACTCCAATATCGTTCTAAGGCTGCAACGGTATTAGTATTTTGTCGCGAAAAACCTTAAGACTCTGAAATACCCTCCACCTCGATAGAGGCGATTGGTAAATCAAAAAACACCCCGACAAGGCCCCAGTATTGGGGTGGAACTCTCATACAGCTGAATGTAAGCAACATCATTATTGTAACCAGATACACTTAGAACTGGTTTAAAAAAAGACACGGGAGCAAACACTAGGACATATTAGAAAACGTTTCTGTCCTGAGACTTTAAACATTTCTATCATACAGATTAAAATGACAGCATATATATATAGACGGAGAGTTGGGTGTGATTGACACATAATGACCTGAAAAATGACATTTGAGATGAGGACACGTAGACAATGAGGTCATGAGATTCCTGTGTAGTTAGGTGGTACTTTACGGGTTTGATTATTATGTACGCTAATCTTTTTGAAAATTTGTAGTTTCCAGTATTACGTTGTACAGTGTGAGTGGCAGCGACTAGTGAAGGTTCCTCGTCACCGACACCTCAATCTCCGCTTGTATATACTCTCATTTTAATCTCTATATGTTAGAAGCGATCAATGTCTCAGGACAAAAATGTTTTCTAATAAATCTGTTCCGGTGTTTAATCCCGTGTCTTTATGAACCAATTTGTCGGTATCAGTTACCAAGGTTTATACCACACTTAGAACGAACTAAGATCTCTTGATGAACGATTTATATGTATTTTCTTGTGTATGACTTGATTAAGATCAACCATGAGCTTAGTCTTCCTTTACATTATTATTATAATCAAGGGGGAAGCGCTAAACCCGTAAGATTATACAGCGTCTTCCTTTACAACCTGTTGGAATTACGTTATCAGTTATATAACGTTTATTTACAATAGGCTACAGAGAGCGAGAGAGAGCGAGGGAGAGAGAGAGAGAGAGGGGGAGAGAGAGAGAGAGAGAGAGAGAGAGAGAGAGAGAGAGAGAGAGAGAGAGAGAGAGAGAAACATTTAGATTTGGAAGCTTATTATTGACCACACATTTCTTTTTTTAAAGTGTAGTAAAATGAACAGGTTTTGTTTGATTTTTGTGGAGAAATGGTTAGATAAATACACTTTCCTGCATGAAACAAACATATAACAATCGGTATTTATCTGTTACCAGCACCATGTCCAGCAGCCTCTCCCTGGACATCCCTTCGGGGTGCCATTCCAGATTCCACAGTCGCTGTAGATTAACAAGTGAGTTAGAAATAATTTGTCCGAAAGGAAAGTATATCCAGCATTCCACTATCATTTGAAATGCGTAGTGGTTTGGGCAGAAAGCCCTCAAATTACGACCTCGAACAGGACAGCCCTAATCACCTTGTGTCTGCTCAAGAACTTTGGCGAAAAAAGTGTGATTAAGTCTTACCTTACTCGTGTAACGTGAACTTTTGGTGGTGACAGCGCCATAAAGGCCGATATCAGTGACTTGAGTGTCTCGGGCAAGGAGAGGAAGGTGTTCCTCGTGACGCTATAGTACATACATGTGGTTTTAATTAAGCTGTTTGCAAAGAAGGAAGAGTACACTAGCCCCTTCCGGGAGAACTAAGTCCCTCAGAGGGCTGAGGGGGGCTGAGAGATACCCCCGTTTACTGGAGAATTTTCTCCACAATTTTTCCAGAAATAGATATAGAATAATTAGTAATAAGAGATTACTGTTACTGAAACAAATGTTATATAACTACTAGAAGAATTAAGTTTCACTTGTAGTTTGAGTTACATTACTTGGTAGAAATATATTATGCAACATGGATGGCAGTGTTAGGTACGACGTATTTACTTGGCTTTTAAGTTTATGTATGATAAATTATCTGTTTAAATTAACTGTACAATTATTTCTGGCATAAACACAAGCCACCAGAAACAACTATAGTGATGCTGGTTGCATACAATAATATTGTCTGCAACCAGTGTGTATTGCACTTTTGTGATTGTAATTATATATCTGACTTCTCATCGAGTTAAACATCAACGTAGATGCATAATTATAATATACATTATAACATTATGTAGGTAAACGGTTTTCGTTTTAAGATGTCTTTCAATTTTATGTTGTCAGGTTGGTGGGTCACGTGAGCGGGGTGATCCAAACAGCATTGTTGTTCTTCATGGTAAGTGTGCAGGCTGGGCTGGGGGTGCAGCAGTGGCTCATGGCCTCACAGATCTCCATGCACTCACTGCCCTCAGGAGGGGCTCTCTACACCTGCTCTCCCCACCGACTACACTTCATTATTAGCCAGTCCTACATCATGTTCTTGCTGGCGCTGCAGCTCATCATATCTCCCTTCAATATTCGCTCTCGGCGCAACTACCATGAAGGATTACTCTTCTTTATCGCCACATTACTAATGACTAGTGTATGGATAGCTTGGTCCACACTCTATATGATCCTTCCACCTGCCTGGAGTGAAGCTTGTATATGCCTGGGTATGGCCGCTACATCTACCTGCGTCTTGGTCACAATCTTCGTTCCCAAGACATATCTGATGGTGCGAGCAGCAGCCCGGGACTCTGTGTGTGCGGCGCCGGTTCACCCCCTTGCGCGCCCACAATCCACACATGACCTGGCGCGGTCTTCCTCCCTCGCCCTGTATGACTCCGTCGGTTATCTGCCCGAGATGATACAGGCCCCGGGCCATGCCTACGCTCCAGACCCCACCGTACACCACCCAACCCAGAAAGAGAACCCTTACGAGACCTATTCTCAGTACCATCCTTCGCCTCACAAAATCACTCAGTTCTAACTCAGTGGAAATGCAAAATGTTAATTATGGCAGCAGTTGCAGTTAGTCTCATTATTGAAATGTATGCCCTTTTCTTTGGCCTTGTTATTAATCCCTATTTTAAATAGAAAATTTACCCTTTCTATTTCGAATCCATCGTGAGGAGGGAAGTAGTATAGATGTGTCCGTACATCTGCTGATCTTTTTCACCTAGCAGTTCTGGGTCGTATCTTAGTGAAAAAGACCTGTAAACCACAAATGAAAGAAGCAATAATAACAGATAAAAACAAGGAGTATAAAGAGTAGTAGTGGTGGTGGTGTTGGTGGTAGTAGTAGTAGTAGTAGTAGTAGTAGTAGTAGTAGTAGTAGTAGTAGTAGTAGTAGTACTAGTAAAGCAAAGAGTGAGAAAGGCTAGGCTTGATACAGACTTGTCTATTATAGGTCAGTAGGTCTCCTGCAGTGCTCCTTTGTTCTTCTTCTTAGGAAGGCATCACATGACGGCTGTCTTCAATATGGTTATCATCCTTCCTATCAAAGTCTAGATTAAGAGCGACTGGAAGCATTTACGGATATATTTCAGTTGTAACAGCAATTTACCTAAAAAATTATTTCAGAAAATGTTTCAAAACTTCCTGAATAGTCGAAATATGGAATAAATTAATGTTTTAGTACATATTATTTAAACTGCTCTGAATCCTCGTAATATAGAATAAATTAAAGTTTTAGCACATATTTTTAGAATTTTTAACATTTCACATATTTTTTAAAAAACCCTATAAAAGTTAATAGATAATCCAAAATATTAGGTATTTCGATTCTAATATTATGGATTTCTAGGAATATAATTTAATTTTAGTGGTAAGCAGGAATTAGAAAATCTTTTGAAAAGTACAATAAAATCTAATGGATAAGGAATTTTGTCTTTTTGTCAATGAATTTTCAATCAAAATATTTTAATTTTAGTGGAAAGTAGGAAAATATCAAGAAATTGCAAATTATCATTTGTTACAATTAAAAGGGTGAAAATCTTCATATTTTAGCTAAAAAATGATCAGTCAGAAAATGTTTCCAAGTACTTAGAAATGTTGAAATATGCTATAGTAATATAGATTTTTATGGACGTTACATATGATTTAAAATAAGGTGAAATAAAAAAAATATAGAAAATACGGTAAAACGTTAATTTATTGCATATTAAGAGCGGTTTGAAGCATCATCGTATATATTTCAATATTTAGGTAAAACTCATATAAATCACAAAATGCGTTAACATTAACTTCTTTAAATAAAACAGTATGATTGAGATTATTTTTTCACATAAACTACAACTGTAGCAGCAGTTTCGATTAAATGTGCAATAATTTCCATAATTTACCTAAAAAAACGAAGTACGTCAGAAAATAATTTAAAGTACTAAGAATCTTGGGAATGTAGAATAATTTGAAGTTTTAGCATATATTTTTATAATTTTTAATATTTAAAATTTGCTGAATCATTATTTTATTGCCTATTTTGATGATTAACAGCAGTTTGAAGTATTTTCAACTATATTTAAATATTTAGATGAAACATGCATCTAAATCATTGTAAAAAGTGTTAAGGTTAACAATTTGAAATAAAACAATGTGATTTGGCTTATTTTTTCCATAAAAAACAACTGTTAATAGCACTTTCTTTTATATGTTTGATAATTTACACAATTTAACTAAAAAATGATGCCATAAAATTAGTCAAAATGCTTCTAGTCGTCGAAATATGGAATAAATTAACATTTACTGCACATTTCTTTATTTGTTTAATATTTTATATTATTATTATTATTATTATTATTATTAT